CAAACCCAGCCTGGTCTACAGAGTGAGTTTCAGGACACCACTGCCTGGCCCATCCCTATTTTTTTTTTTTTTAATTTAGGTTTCCTCTTTTCTTATTTATGTCTCGATAACCAACTCTTTGATTCTTTGGATTGCTCTCTTAGTCTCAGCCTCAAGCCTTCATCTTTATTACATCAATCTACTGGTTGGAGTTTGACTTGCACACTAAAAGTATCGAGACACACTCATTAAGTTATTTGCTTCGGACTTGTTTAATTTTTGCTCCTATTCATGGGTATGTGTGTATGCACGTGTGGGGGTGTCTGAGGAGACCACAGGAAGGTGTTGAGTCCCTGGAACTGGAGTCCCAGGTGGCTGTGAGAGGCCAATGTGGATGCTGGCCATCAAGCTCCTGCCGTCTATAAGAGCAGAGAGTGCTTTTAACATGAGCCAACGCTTCAGCTTCCTCTTTGATTTTTTTTTTTTTTTTGGTTTCCCGAGACAGGGTTTCTCTGTAGCTCTGGAGCCTGTCCTGGAACTAGTTCTTGTAGACCAGGCTGGTCTCGAACTCACAGAGATCCACCTACCTCTGCTTCCGGTTAAAGTATAATTTCTTTTAGGGACTAGAGATCTTTGGCCTAGAGGCTTTTGCTGCCTTCTTATTAGCTGAGGTTGGTCATGCCTTTGTGTTTGGAAACACAATTATCTCACACCACAATTCTGCCTGCCTTGAGGAGGCTCCCACCATTTCACGGATCAGGAAGAGGTAGACCCATCCCACAGGTGCCTGGCCCTCGGACTTCTAATGTGGGTACCCAGATCTCAGTAATGGTTAAATTTTCTTTTCCTCACTAATCTGAGAACTATCACAATAAGAAGGTAAATCATGTGGATAAAGGTTATTTATGTCTGTCACTTGTAATGTAAATCATGTGGATAAAGGTTAACTTGATATACAATAAATGTTCAATGGTAGCTAGTCTCTTATATTTTATACATTAATTCTTTTATTACCAGGTTGTGAATTTTGTGTTTATCTTATCTACAGATATTTGTAAGCAAAGAACTTTATTAGCAAATGTTAATATATTATACATAATAGTAATGGGTTTTCATACATGGCCTCTCTTACACACACACACACACACACACACGCACGCACGCACGCACAAATAAAAATAATGTCCCCCACAGAATGCTCACAGGCCAACCTATTCTAGATAGTTCCTCATTAAGACTCTAAACTCAAGATGGCCGGTGGTGGCGCAGGCCTTTAATCTCAGCACTTGGGAGGCAGAGGCAAGTAGATCTCCGTGAGTTTGAGGCCAGCTTGGTCTACAAAATGAGTTCCAGTACAGCCTGGCCTGTTCTAAAGAAATCCTGTCTCGAAAAATCAAAAAGACTCCCTACTCAGGAGATTCTAGATGGTTTCATTAACCATTAAAAATAACCAGCATATACACTAAAATTTCTAAAATTGAATTTCATATATATAGTTATATATATGAAAATCAGATGAGCTTTAAGACATACTTGGTTTTTTCTTTATATTATAAATAGTATATACATATTTGTAAGGATATACAGACCACTGTCAGTCTCAGCCACTGCCTCTTCAAATACACATCCCATCAGCACAGTGTGCTGAACACTGCTCTATTATCAACAATCCCCACAACACCCAGTGAGACGAAGATTAGGCTAGAGATGAGAATATGGATGGGGTACTGTCAACACCACCAAGACATACACAGAAATTACACCACACAGTGTTTCTTAAATAAATGATTCTTTTGACCATTTACAATTATTTATTTATGTAGGCAGTCATAAAATATTTTTATAATATACATAAGAAAAGACATTTAGATGAGTAACAAATATAATAGCAGGTGACAGAATTTAGTGTTTATAAATGAAACCATCAATCACAGTCGGAGAAGACAAACAAACTGTACTGAAAACCGGAGCCATGCACTTCCGCGTTTCTAAACTGCAAGAAGGTGTTGGGCTTTTAAAGGGAACATGACTTCCTGTTTGTCAATGATCTCAACACACTTCTAGAAACTGTCATAGATGGATATGAAAGGAAAGAAAAAGACAAGAACTTTGGCAAGCAAAGTAGTAGTTCACAGCAGCTTGGTAAAAGTTTAAATCTTTTTATGTAAATGTTCTTTACTTTATATTTGTTCTTATAAAAGAAAAATTAATATGTTAATATGAAGAATCTCTAAGCTATATGAAAAAATAACTATTTAATAAAGCCTGAACACTATGGAAATGTGCACCACACTGCATAGATAGAAATGGAGTGAATGCGAGCCATGTGATTCTTAATGCTTTTATAGAAAATATTTAGCCCCAAATATCAGATAGCGTCACTTATGTCCACAGCTCTCCAGAAAGCAGCCCAAGGCCACATTAAACTAACAAGCCTCTGTTGTTTTCTCTCATTTCCATCATTAAACATGTTTCTGTTATTCTCAATAAAATAAAAAAATGAAAAAAAAAAACATGTTTCTGCAAACCCTCTGAGAGTGTGTTTAGTACTCTACACACCATATCACGACCCATGAATGATCACCCCCCTTTAAAAAAAAATCACTGAGACTGGAGAAAGAATCATCAAATCAGAGGTTTCTGTTTGTGACCTACAGGAGATCTGACACCTCAAAACCTGCAGCTCCAAAAGACAACTCAGAACTTAATGATTTTTTTTCTTTTTTGCCACAAATAACTGGCTAATTAGGTGTCTAGAAAATGAGACTCTTAAGATTTAGCAAATCAATTACCATGAATTGACTCTCAAACACTGATGAATGCAAGAGAAACTAGGTGAAGTTTTACATAAAAGGAAATAAATACTGCATAATATGTAGTGAATATTTGCACAGACCCTTTATATCTAAAGCATAAAATACAACTTGCAAATGATGCTCCTAACTATATGTCTTCTTAAGACACATTTTGACACAGCTAGCGAAGCCTCTCCATGATGCGAAAGTTCCCACAGTTTAAGGCTTTCCAACGGGCTTGTAGCAAGCGTCAGGCTGCCAGAGGCGAATATCGACAATCACCTGGTTGAGTTTCTGCATCCAGAGATCCCGTTCCTCTTTAGTGTCTGCAGAGAGCCAGTTCCTGCAAGGGCAAGCAGAGGTCAGCCTCCTTCCCACCATTCCATGCCCGCACACACCTGTTCTAGGAAAACACAAATCCCTAAATAAACCAACATTTGCTGCCTACCTTCCATCTGATGCCAACCTAGAGCCACGCAGGGAAGAGCACAACAGAGTACTGTCATTCCTGGTCTGGTTAACTAATTATGACTCACACTAATTCCTTAGTGTTTCCTTGTTTTTGTTTTTTTTTGAGATGGAATCTCAGGTCTCACAGAGTGATTTCCACACAAGCCCCTCTGTATATCCAGCAACGGCTTGATGATTAGATTGTGTCACATTCTCATCTCCACCTTGAGTCACAACTGCTCACTCAAGATCGTCTTCAAGTTTTTCTTGGGCATTTGTGCTGGGCAGTCTTTTTGCTGACTTGATACAACTAGGGTCATCTGGGAAAAGGGAACCCTTTGAGAACATGCCTCCATCAGACTGGCCTGTAGGAAAATATTTGTGGGGCATTTTCTTGATTACTGATTGATGTGTGAGGGTCCAGCCCATGGTGGATGGTCCCACCACTGAGCAGGTGGTCCTGGGTTCTAAAGAAAGCAGGCTGAGCAAGCCACAAGGAGCAAGCCAGTAAGCAGCATTTCCCCATAGCTTGTTTCAGGTTCTGTCCCTAGGCTCCTACTTGAGTTCCTGCACTGACTTCCCTCAGTGGTGGATTGTGTTGTGGAAGTGAAAGCCAAATAAACCCTTTCCTCAAGTTGCTTTTTGCCATGGTGTTATTTAACCTCCAACCAGAAACCTGCAGACTAAAATCGATTTTTAAAGTAATCTAATTAAGTGAGAATACTTTTTTTTTCTTCTTCAAGACAGGGTTTCTCTGTGTAACAGCCCTGGCTGTACTGGAACTCACTTTGTAGATCAGGTTGGCCTTGAACTCAGAGATCTGCCTGCTTCTGCTTCCCGAGTGTTGTGATTAATGGCATGTGCTACCACTGCCCAGTTATGAGGGTATTTCCTAATGAAGAGAAATATGCTTGACTTCTCAACTATACATAAAATTTTTAAGCTTAACTCAAAGATTACCAGCTAAATGCCTAGAGAACAGCCATGACCAACTGAGATTCAGTCTTTAACTTTTCTTAATTAAATTTAGTCAGTTATTACAGGTTGTTCTTTTACTGTTATGTATGAGTTATAATATAGGTTATAATATATATGTGTTATATGTATATATTATAGGCTGTTCTCTTAACTATTATATATGTGTATATATTTATATGTATCTCACCAGAATGTTAACCTTTTCAAAGTTGAGGACCATCAATTGTATTTTCCACACACCCTAAGAATGAAGCTGGCAATTACTTAGTTGACAGAAACAAGCATGGGAACAGTACATACTTGGTGACACAGAGTGTGTCCCTGCACTGGCTGACAAGAGTCTCTCGATCGTCTTCTCTTTGTGGTCGGACAGTAATTAATTCCATAGTGTTGCGTCTTGCACAGAATTCTCTGTTGGCTGGTTCTACCTGATGACTGATACAATTGGCCAGATTTATCCTTCCTACGGGACTCTTTAAAAACAAAATATAAAAAGTATGAGTAGAGAACAAGCAAGGTTACTTAATGCAGTAAGCATTAAGTAGTGCTTAAGTTAGCATAAAGTTAAAAAGCTGTTATTTAAAATGTAGTATTTAACAACCAGAAAACAAGCAAGCATGAAGCAGCCAAGCCTAAGAAATGGCTTAGGAGCCTGGGACTCCACTTGGCTTAGGTCATACACACATCTCTCTCTGGTCAATGAACTTAGCAACCTATTGGCAGCTAGGACCTCTCACCTACGTCAGGCTGCACACACCTCTGTTAAAACAATGAGATTAAGTTCTTCCTTATCAAACACTTGATAACAGCCAGTTTCTATTCAAATACAAGGAACACAATCCAGGAACTATACAGGCAATGGACTGCTCCGGCTCACTTGGGTTTGGGTACATGCTCAATAATATAAATCTATGTTCCCACGTAAACTTTTGGGAAACCCCCTAATTACCATCGAATGACAATATATGCATATATACATGTGCACATGTCTGAATATGCATTCTCGCAATACACGATGTACATCCAAAAACAATGTAAAGCATTAAAATATTATCTAGAAAAACTCATTTTAGATAACTGAAAGTGCCTCAAATTTTTTAAAAGTAGGATCACATATGATCCATTATAGTCCCATTATAGCAGTGGTTTTCAACTTGTGAGTCTCAACCCCTTAGCGGGTTGAATGACCCTTTCCCAGGAGTTGCCAAAGACCATCATACATATTAGATATTTATATAACAGTTTATAACAGTAGCAAAATCACAGTTATGAAGTAGCAATGAAGTAATTTCTGGCTGGGGGGTGGGCAGTCACACAAGAGAATAGTATCAAGGGTCACAGCACTAGGAAGGTTGAGAAGCACTGCTCCAGAACTGGTGGGACTGCTCTGGAAATAACATTAGTGTGTCAAAGACAGCCTACGGCAGGATTACTCATATGGGAGAAACCTAACGGTCCATCAAAATATGAATTATTTAAAAACTATGGCACCAACTCCAAAAAATCAGTTGCCTTCCTATACACTAAGGATAAAGAAACAGAGAGGGAAATCAGAGAAGCATCACCTTTCATGATAGCCACAAAGAGCATAAAATATCTTGGGGTAACCCTGACCAAGGAAGTGAAAGATCTATTTGACAAGAACTTCAAGTCTTTGAAGAAAGAAATAGAAGAGGACACCAGAAAATGGAAGGATCTCCCTTGCTCTTGGATTGGGAGGATCAACATAGTAAAAATGGCAATTCTACCAAAAGCAATCTATAGATTCAATGCAATCCCCATCAAAATCCCATCAAAATTCTTCACAGATCTGGAGAAGACAATAATCAACTTTATATGGAAAAACAAAAAACCCAGGATAGCCAAAACAATCTTATACAATAAAGGAACGTCTGGAGGCATTACCATCCCTGACTTCAAACTCTATTACAGAGCTACAGTATTGAAAACAGCTTGGTATTGGCATAAAAACAGAGAAGTCGACCAATGGAATCGAATAGAAGACCCTGACTTTAACCCACAAACATATGAACACCTGATTTTCGATAAAGGAGCTAAAAGTATACAATGGAAAAAAGAGAGCATCTTCAACAAATTGTGCTGGCAAAACTGGATGTCAATCTGTAGAAGAATGAAAATAGACCCATATCTATCACCATGCACAAAACTCAAGTCCAAGTGGGTGAAAGACCTCAATATCAGTCCAAACACACTGAACCTGATTGAAGAGAAAGTGGGAAGTACTCTACAACACGTGGGCACAGGAGACCACTTCCTACGTATAACCCCAGCAGCACAGACAGTAAGGGCCTCATTGAATAAATGGGACCTCCTGAGACTGAGAAGCTTCTGTAAAGCAAAGGACACTGTCGCTAAGACAGAAAGGCAACCCACTGACTGGGAGAAGATCTTCACCAACCCCACAACTGACAAAGGTCTGATCTCCAAAATATATAAAGAACTCAAGAAACTAGACCGTAAAAGGCTAATCAACCCAATTATAAAATGGGGCACTGAGTTGAACAGAGATCTCTCAACAGAAGAAGTTCAAATGGCCAAAAGACACCTAAGGTCATGCTCAACTTCCTTAGCGATCAGGGAAATGCAAATCAAGACAACTTTAAGATACCATCTTACACCTGTCAGAATGGCGAAAATCAAAAACACCAATGATAGCCTTTGCTGGAGAGGTTGTGGAGAAAGGGGTACACTCATCCATTGCTGGTGGGAATGCAAACTTGTGCAACCACTCTGGAAAGCAGTGTGGAGGTTTCTCAGGAAATTTGGGATCAACCTACCCATGGACCCAGCAATACCACTCTTGGGAATATACCCAAGAGAGGCCTTATCACACAACAAAAGTATATGCTCTACTATGTTTATAGCAGCATTGTTTGTAATAGCCAGAACCTGGAAACAACCTAGATGCCCTTCAATTGAAGAATGGATGAAGAAAGTATGGAATATATACATATTAGAGTACTACTCAGCAGTAAAAAACAAGGACTTCTTGAAGTTTGCAGGCAAATGGATGGAAATAGAAAACACTATCCTGAGTGAGGTAAGCCAGACCCAAAAAGAGGAACATGGGATGTACTCACTCATATTTGGTTTCTAGCCATAAATAAAGGACATTGAGCCTATAATTCGGGTTCTTAGAGAAGCTAAATAAGAAGGAGAACCCAAAGAAAAACATATAGGCATCCTCCTGAATATTAACCTTCATCAGGCGATGAAAGGAGACAGAGACAGAGACCCACAATGGAGCACCGGACTGAAATCTCAAGGTCCAAATCAGGAGCAGAAGGAGAGAGAGCACAAGCAAGGAACTCAGGACCGCGAGGGGTGCACCCATACACTGAGACAATGGGGATGTTCTATCGGGAACTCACCAAGGCCAGCTGGCCTGGGTCTGAAAAAGCCTGGGTTAAAACCGGTCTCGCTGAACATAGTGGACAATGAGGACTACTGAGACCTCAAGAACAATGGCAATGGGTTTTTGATCCTACTGTACCTATTGGTTTCGTGGGAGCCTAGGCAGTTGCGTGGATGCTCACCTTACTAGACCTGGATGGAGGTGGGTGGTCCTTGGACTTCCCACAGGGCAGGGAACCCTGATTGCTCTTTGGGCTGACGAGGGAGGGGGACTTGATGGGGGGGGGGGGAGGGAAAGGGGAGGGGGGGGTGGGGAAGAGACAGAAATCTTTAATAAATTAAAAAAAATAAATAAATTTAAAAAAATAAAATACTCTAAAAATAAATAAAAACTATGGCATATGTACACAATAGGTTATTGCTCTGTCTTAGAAGAAAGCAGAGAACTTTGTAGTTTGTGAAAGATGAACAAGAATGAAGCTACAATATTATATTGTGGTAGCTGAAATAAAATAGGTACAAGAACCAGCAACACCGCTCCTTTGCCTATGCCCAAAGGACTCGGCATCCCACCCCAGACAGTTGTTCAGCCATGTTCACTGCTGTTTAATTCACAACAATTAGACCATGAAGATAACACACATGTCCTTCACCTGATGAAAGGATAACGAGAATGTGGTACATACATGCCATGGAATACTATTCAGCTGTAAAGAAAATGAAATAATGAGATTTGCAGACTAATGGATGGATTCAGAAAATATATTGAGTGAAGTAATCTAGACCCAGAAAGACAAACACTATGTTCTCTCTCTTTTGTGGCTCCCAGCGCCAAGTCCAGATGTGACTATATGACCTGAAGTAATACAGAAGCCAAGAAAGTAAAAGGGGACAGACCATGGAGTGGGGAAAGATCCAGAGAGGGAATAGCAGGATGACGTCATATGAAGGGGGAAGGGGAAAAATGGTGGGGAGGCTTAGTTAAGGGTGGGGAAGAATACTTGAAATAACTGTAGAGAATATCGTATTTACCTAAAATTGCATGTAGTAAATGTAAGTGTACATGCACACACAGACAGACAGAAAGACAGGCAGACAGTTTCAATGAAGTTATGCCACTTGGGATGATAAAAGCCAGAGACTCTCGAAGAAAAGCCCCAGGACCAGCAGCTCCAGAGGAATCCAAGATACTCCCAAACAATACAGGCTACTGCTATTGCTCTTCATTGCCTCCCAGAACCTAAAAGTGAGCCCCCACTGCTGACTATACCATGAACTCTGGACACAGAACTTGGAGAATGCGAACTGGATCTAACCTGAAAACTATCTTTCACAACACCAGAAAGTGGTTTGTAATTAAAAAATAAATGTAAAAATTTTTATTATACTTATAAAAACATTCAGTGGTATCTATGAATTTGCTGGGCATACAAATAGAAACGTAAATTACCAACTGATGGCTCTTGCCAACCATGTTATGCATCTAAAAGAAATGTACAATACTTTTATAGAAAACTTCAAAAAACGACAGACAGCTTGACAGATAGCTTCAGCTAAGGGTGCCTGACATTATTGCAGAGGACCTGGCTTCGGTTCCCAGCACCCACATCACCGGACTCACAGCAGCTAGGGATTCCAACCATCTTCTGGCCTCTGCAGGCACCTGCATGTATGTCGTGTACACACAGATGAATAACAAAATAGTGTAATTGAACCTCCCCCCCCCCAATATACTTCCCTTTCAACAATTAGAAATATGTATTCGGGGCTGGAGAAAC